GCACCAAGAACCTCATATTTCAGCCTTCAGCCATTTCAATACAATTTCTCAACTTTCTACGCTCCCAAAGTATTTCATCTGCTGTTCAGCCAGCTCTTGATATTTTGTTTTTAGGAACCATATAAGCCAGGGGTGTCAAACTTGCATCATTATGGTGGTATCACATGACATATCGGGACAGTTTCCCTTTTGCTAAACTGGGCAGGGGCGGGGCCAGCACGTGACCCTCTGATTCGTGGGTCGTGAGTTTGATACCCCGATATAAGCCCTCTTCCCTTCAAATCAATGTGTAGGATTGTATATAATTTAATAGCCAAGTGGAAAATCCTATCAGTGTTTTGTCATAACAAATGAAATGTTATGTTACTCTCTTGTGTTACCACAGCACACACCCCTCCCAACTTGGCCCTACCCTATAATATGGCTGACCTGGACCCATTAGCATAAATTTTCAAAATATGCTTCAGCTATATTTTCTCTTTGAATATTTCTAACTTGGTAACATGGCATTTACAGAAGTCATAGGGCCCACAACTCTAACTGGATCTCCAAAATTAAATATTTTTAAAAGGAATCAAATGATCCAAATCTGAAGGATTTCTGCCACCTGGGCAAAGATTTTGTTATCACATAAAAGTTTATGAGATTTTTACTGATATTAAAAATTTAGAACCAGTTTGTGCTCATCACCTTGAGGGAAATAGCAATGCCTGTGTCCTGAAAAGTTTGCTATTGCCTGAGAAGCAGGGATGGGATTCTATCAGTTCCCACCTATTCACTAGAACCAGTTGTTAACATTCTAAGCAGTTTGGAGAACCGGTTGTTAGAAGAAATTACTGGCCTAATCCTGTAAGGAAGGCAGGAAGGAAACATTCTGATGTTGCTTACAGAAACTGCCTCTCCGTTAACCCTTATTACATTCTTGGCAGGACTAGACTTCCTGTCTCAGGAACTTCTCTGGAGGTTTTTTTTTTCCTCCTTTGCTGGTACTTTGCTTGTGTGGCATGACCATTCAAAGTTACAATGGCACTGAAAAAAGTGACTTATGACCATTTTTCACACTTACAACTATTGCAGCATCCCCACAGTCATGAGAGGCCAGGCAAGGAAATGCATGCCTCGATGTGAGTGATGTTGAGTTGGCCATGCCCAGCCAATAACATGACCACCAAACCACGCCCACCAACTAAGCCACACCCACAGAACTGGTTGTTAAAATATTTGAATCCCACCCCTGCTGAGAAGTGATCCGTTTTGTGTATAATTTGGTTAAGGATCTTGAACATAGTGCAAACTAGGTAGCTTCTTTTTAAAATTTATTTTTAAGAACCAGTAAGAGTTGCTGCTGCTGAGGAAGAAAAAGTAGCTTTAAAAGGTAGAGAATTTCCCTTCACTACAGACATTGCTTGTATTTTCTCATGTATTGAATATAAAATTGATATAATTTCATGTTTTTACTACCTTAAAGGTTCAGAAAGGTTCATTTATACCTGCAGAAAATCCCTACACATTGCCAGTAATTCATCCAGCTGAAGAGCTATATATAATACTGTATCTAACATTTTAAACTATCTCTGGTAATGTAGCTTCATTAAGCAAGCAATATAGATTGTATCTGGGTTGGTGATTTACTCTTCTCCACCTTCTCACTGGTAAGGGGAAGAAAGTGAGGGATTGTATTGCTATGCTATTTGATATGTATAAAAGCAGAGAGAAAGTTTAAATTGAAAGTAGAGTAGGAAGTAAGTCAGAATATTATTTCTTTTAGCCATTTTAGAGGCAATAGTCTGAGCTGGGAATAGATCTCAAGAGATTAATCTGAAAATAAAAGGTCTGAGATTTTAAAAGTCTCTTTTTTTTTAAAGTACAGGATCTCTTTTCCCATAACCTCACAGAACTATAGGTGATCTTCCAAATGTTGATGGTCTAGACATTCCTGGAAGTTGGTCAGGTTAGCTGTGGCTACTGGAAATTGGTGATTATGCAGCATTTCTGGGAGAAGGGAAGACGGAGGGTAATCCAATTTATTTAAGGCAAACATATACAGCCTTTTTTTGTAGTGTTATTTTCTTATAGAAATAATCTGCTGGAGGTGGCACTGGTGGGCAGAGCAAGAAACAAAAAGTAGATGTGGACAGAGACATCAAGCACGCACACACACACACACACACACTTGTTTTTCTGCTGCTGCAAAGAAAAGGATAAATTGCTTTGGGAAAAGATCTGATCTGACTTGATTACTTACAAAGGAGTTTTGAAATCAGGCCAAAGGCCCCAGGATTCTGAAGCTGTAGATTGCCACTTTTGATTAAGGGCATCATGGTGCTTTGCATATAGAATAAATCAGGTTCCAAGCACAGTATCTGCAGGTTTGTTCTACCCTACACCTCCCCCTGCAAGCATTATGTGGTAGAAAAGTTCTTTTCCTGAATCCTGTTTACAAAAGCTTGCACTCTCTTGCATTAGGCAGCTTCCTAAATTCATATGCTTATTTCTTATGCGTCAGGCTCTTTTCCAAACACCGAGTATAGATTCTGGAGCAAAGCCCTGATGAGACTTGGGTAAATATAAAGCCCCGGACAAGCACTAAATCTTTATGTTTAAAATGAGATTGTTTGAAATGTAAGGTGGGGGTAGAAAGGTAAATGATGTAGGGCTAAGTTTGTTGTGGTAGGATTTTGAGTATCGGTTTCCCGAAATGGCTTGAAATAATAGTAGGCATTCTGGAAAATGAAAATGAGGACAATTTCTGATGCCTTTGATTGGAACATTTTTCTTCACTGACAGGAGCTCAGGCATTACAAACAGGCTGGACCAGAACATTGACCAGCTCAGATTTATATTTCACTATGTTCACCCCTTTGACTCAAGATGTAATCTGTGTTGACCTTTCATCATTAATTCAGCAGAAAATTTGCCTCACTGCCCATGCACACTTACCTATCTGGGTGTGCAATGCACTGTCGGATAGTAAATGTGATAGATTGCTGGCTGGCTAACATGCTTCTTTCCATGCTTGGGAGCACAAGCATGTCTGAAGACAGAAAACGAAGCTCGACACTTTGGGCCTTTTTCCTATCAAGGACTTTGGAGTGCAGCTGGTAATTTATTTTCATAATAAACGCCTATATATCTTCATAAAGGGCCAGGAAGCAATGGGCATAAAACAGAGGAATATGGCAAGTTCTAGCATTGTCCCTCCTTCTCCACCTCGGCTTATCAGTTCCTCTTTTGAAAGATGATAACAATTTTAAAAGGCTTCAAGAAATCATTTGCCAGTGAGGGAGAATGAAACTGGAAAACCAGCCAGGAATTATTTTCAGCAGACTTCAGAAAGGATGTGCTAGCAGGAAATGCAAAGGTGGAGAGAGGGGTGGAGGAACAGCAGCAAGAACAAGTCAGTAGCTTTGAGGTTCTGCATCTTGTTCTAATTCCAAACCAAGCTTTATAGTAAAACAAATCAGACTTTTCAAACCTAGGATTGCAATAAGCCAGATTTTGACCTAAACGTGGTCTTTGGAAGGAATGAAGATAGACAGAAGCTCCCTGGATGCAGTAGATAAACCTCAGAAAATGCTGGAGTTTGTGAATAGTTTCAGATGCATCAAATAACTGTGGGTGCTTTCACACTACTCCATTTCGAGCTCCCAATCTTTATAGCTATTGTGTCAATTTTCACCTCTAGAACTGTCAAAATTCTGAAGACATGAGGGAACTATATGGACTGGAAATAAAACATGGAGACTGCATTACAGAACCAATTAAGATCTTCTCACTTCTATTCTATGTGAAAGAGGGAGAAACAAAACTGCTAGACTGAATCATCACCTTGCCGCTCTGTATTTAAGCACATATTGTGTACATTTTCCTTCATTTCCTTTTGGAGGGAGGGGAAACTGATGATTGCTATCATAGGAAGCTAAGAGGAAACACCATTCTTCTGCTGCACTGAAAAGCAATAGATCTCTCTCAAGCTGTGTCCATCTTTATAGTCTGAAATGTACAACGCATATAGAATTTTAAACCCCTGTTAAATTTTAGGCCCCCATTAATATGCCATGTTTTTGAGATGTAAAAATATCAGACCAGGAGAAACCACTTCAGAATTGTTTCCACCTTTAATATGACATATAAGCTATATCATTCAATTGAAAAACAAACTGAAATCTTTTAAGAGGGAAAATAACAATAAAAAATGTAGAGTAAAGCCCAGTACCTGAGTAGCACTAATCAATATTACACCCATGCAATGCTGGTTAGTTCTGAGATCTTCAACTGCTCATTGTTCTTTTCTTCTTTTCATGTTCTAGCACAGTGTGAGACATCAATGGACCTTTCCTTGTTTTTTAACTGCAGCTCCTGCCATTACTATTGGCCATATTGATTGATGGATGATGGAATTCAACATACCTGCTTTCTATCTCAATCTAATAAACCCCCTGACCCTACTATAAAAAAGTATCTTATGAGTACCATTATCACTGTGGCCCCAATTTTGTATCTCCATTGGCTAAAGAATGAATGCAAGTGAAGGCATCACTGTAAGCTACCGTGACAGGTATATGCCGCAGTTTAATCTTGCTGTGCCATTTCCAATCTGCCTTTCTCTTTTTGATGGTGATGAATGGGGCCTCGGTAGAAGGGAAAGATAGAAAGGAAAGAGATTATATATGGGAAAGACATGCATGCATATATTCTTGTATCTTCATTATACAGAGTCTCTCCATTTTATGAAGGTAGTTGAAGTTACAGAAGTAACACAAATAAGAAATTCTCTAGAAGAAATAGGATAATATCAAGTTGAGGGCAGGCTGTTCTTTGCCTAATTCCTTCTTTTCCACCCCATATTTTATCTTGTAAAAATATAAGTGACCATTCACTTTTCTAAGAGCATCAGAAACACGAGGGAGTCAGCACTGGTGAACATCCTGGTGGATTGATGGCTTTTTCTTTGTTGCAGCTATGATCCAGACCACTTCTTTGCCCATCTTATATGTTGATATATATATTGATTATATGTTATATCATCTGAGATCTCCCCAATAAAGCATTTTCAGGAGCAATGATGTTGTCTGAGCTAAACGAGTGTCCTGCCCTTGTGAAATTTTTGGAGAAATGGCACTGCTATTGGCAAAAAATGTGGAAATCATCTATCATGTTTTCCTATCTGGAAATGTGAATAATTACAAGTATGGCCAGCTGCCATTTGTAGTAGTTTTTTACTTTAGCCTAGGAGAATATAACTTTGTAGTGATTTATTATATTATATTATATTCTGTCTTTTCTTCAAGAGCTCAAGGTGGCATACAGAGTGCTCCTTCATTGGTTGGGCTCAGAGAGAGAACAAATGGCCTCAAAACTCTCAGTGAGCTTCCTTCCATCAGGCCTTCAGTTTAGGCCTTGCTGCCAGTTTTGCTGCCTGAACTTGAACACTGCATGCAAAACAGTGACACTTCCCCTCTGCTTCCCTTCCATGCTTGTCCCCAACTCGGTGGTTCAGATGGGCAAAAAAGTATTTGAGAATATTGTTGAAAGAGAGGATGAGGAAGAGCCATAGGATAAGCAATAAGAACCACAATGTGAAAAAGATGTTGACACTCTAGAAAGAATGCAGAGAAGAGCAAAAAAGATGATTAGGGGGCTGGAGGCTAAAACATAGATAGAATGGTTGTGGAACTGGGTATATCTACTTTAAGGAAAAGAAGGACTAGGCAAGACATGATAGCAGTCTTCCAATATCTCAGGGGCTGCCACAAAGAAGAGGGAATCTAGCTATTCTCCAAAGCACCGGAAGGCAAGACAAGAAGCAATGGGTGGAAACTAATCAAGGAGAGAAGCAACTTAGAACTAAGAAGAAATTTCCTGATTGTAAGAACAATTAATCAGTGGAACAACTTGCCTCCAGAAGTTGTGAATGCTCCCAACACTGGAAGTTTTTAAAAACATGTTGGATAACTGAATGTGGTGTAGGGTTTTCTGCCTAAGCAGGGGGTTGGACTAGAAGACCTCCAAGGTCCCTTCTAACACTCCTATCCTATCCTATTCTGCAGCTTAGCAATGGGGTTGTAGCAAACATCTCAGAAGGGACCTTCCCTAGTTTCCTAGGCTGTAAAAGTGAAGGGGGAGAGATGTATTTTCAGATTTGCAAGATTGATGTGAGACCTTAGAAGAAATCCAGACAAGAAGCACCAACCATGAGTGCGAACACTACATACTTCTTTATTACCTTTTGTTCTTGAGCAGCTTTGTTGGTAGGTGAGCACTCATCATCCTGGCAGCACCAGCAGCTGCAGTCCTTCCAGTTGACAGGACTGCCAGTTTACTGTAGATCTGGCACTTAAGGTACTAAGAGTCTGTCTTCCTGTCACAACAGAGGAGCTCTGGGAGGCCTCCAGGAGAGGAGGAAAAAAGGCTTTCCATTATCACTCAAAAGCACACCACTAAATCTGAGTCAAAACACTACAGCTCCTGCAGGTTATCTATCGTTTTTATCAATGCCGAAAGCTTTCCCAACAGATGGTTATTACTTAAATGGGAAAGAAACATAGCTTTCCTCAAGTGGAAGGAATGGAAACAAAGATTATAGTGATTTGTCTGGAATCAGCAGGGTTCCTTTCCTTCAGCTGCTGGAAGTTTGTTATGCAGAGCGGGCAAATCACCCTCCAGATACATTCAAGTGCTCAGTCCTGCAACACTCAGAAGACTGAATTCAATGAGACTGTAGATGCCTTGACATTAATCCTAATATGAAGAAAGGAGCCACTAGTGAGAATACCACAGCTATCTATTCATGTCCCTGCCAGCACTGGCTTTGAGCCTGTTAATACAGTAATATTTGCTGGTAGTTATAAAAACAAGACATCACAATGACTTTTTGTATCAAGGGAACACAAGTGAGGCTAGCACCTTAGTTGATAGCAGTTTATTTAAAAAAAAAAATGGTCTAAGATAAATCAGAACCAAGAGGCAAGATTGTTCCACACTGTCAGATCTGATGGCTGTCTGCTCTGTGTGAGAAAATGAATCTTCTTCATATTTTACTGTTTCAGTTCTACTCCCTTTTGATTCTGTCTGAATTATCCCTTTTGGGCCAAAAGCTTATTAACTGTTCAGAAGGTATATTCATAGGGAGCTTCTCTTTTTCTTAGACTTTTTTTTAAACTTTAGACCTTTTATTACTTTTATAAATAACTCATACCTAATATTCCTTCTTCTTCCACTTTTCCCAAAACAAACAATCCTGTAAAGTGAGGTGAGTTAGGCTGACAGAGAGAGTGACTGGTCCAAAATCACCCAGTAAGGTGGGACTAGAACTCAGTTTCCTGCTTTCTAGTCTAATATCTTAAACAATTTGCCTCTCATGCAATCTAAATAATGCATTTGGAGTAATATCAGTGATATTGTAAACCTCCTGGTGTATTTGCAAATATGTTTTCCCACATGCAAATAATTCTATTATTTATTATTTATTTATTTATTTGTCAAACATGTACAAGATAGCAGGTATAGGTATGAACATAAATAATGAACAAAGGAAGTAAATACAGATAAATGGGGGCAGTACGACAGTAACGGTAGGCACGCTGGTGCGCTTATGCATGCCCCCTTTAAGGACCTTTTTGGAATGGGGTGAGGTCCATGGTAGACAGTTTGAAGTTGAAGCTGGGCGGGTTTGAGGTTGAAACAAAGGAGTTGGGTAGAGCATTCCAGGCATTGACCACTCTGTTGCTGAAGTTGTATTTTTTGTAATCGAGTTTGAAGTGGTTTACCTTGAGTTTGTATTGATTGTTTGCCTGTGTATCATTGTGGTTGAAGCTGAAGAAGTCATTGTCAGGTAAGATGTTGTAGCAGACAATTTTGTGTACTATGCTTAGATCAGACCACAAGTGGCACAGTTCCAGGTTGTCCAAGCCCAAAATTTCAAGCCTGGTAACATAAGGAATTCTATTTTGAGTAGAGGAGTGGAGTACTCTTCTCGTGAAATACTTCTGAACCCACTCAATCATGTTAATGTCCAATAAACAGTGTGGGTTCCAGGTGGATGAGCTGTATTCAAGAATTGATCTGGCAAAGGTTTTATATGCCCTAGTTAGCAATACAATGTTACTGGAGAAGAAGCTTCACAAAGTTAGGTTAACAACTCTTAATGCCTTTTTGTAATGCTGTTAGCTCTGGGGCTTAGATCATTTGAGATGAGTACTCCTAGGTCCTTGACAGAGTGAGGGTCATCTATGAGATCATTTCCACCAAACTTGTATTTGGTGTTCTGAATTTTATTGCCAATGTGTAGGACGGAGCATTTATTAGTTGAGATTTGGAGTTGCCAGTTGTTCGACCATTCTGACACATAGCCAAGATTGCTTTGTAAGGCAGCAGCATTGTCAGTGGTGTTAAATAATTTTATGTCATCAGTGAAGAGCACGCAGCTGCTTTTAATATGATCATGTAGGTCATTGATGTAAAGCAGAAAGAGTGTGAGTGCCGGATTTGATAGGGCCCTCCCTATTTTGACTATTTGTTGCCTGTTTGACAGAAATGCAGCTATTCACTTGCGCTGGGATTCAGAGATGCCGTAAAAACTTAGTTTCAACAGTAGTTTGTCATGAACCACTGAATCAAAGGCTTTACAGAAGTCTATGTAAATTGCATCTATTGCTTTACCCTGGTCCAAATGTGTGGTCCAAATGTTTCTGGAGTGTATGAGTTGCAGATTACAGGACAATTTTTTTCTGAAACCAAACTGCTTGTTAGAAAGCAGGTTGCTTGTTTCTAAGTGGAGGGTGGTGGATTGGTTTATAATTGATTCCATGACTTTACAGGTGATGCAACATAGTGAGATTGGTCTGTAATTTTCTACTAGACTAGAGTCTCCCCTTTTAAAAATAGGTATGACCGTGGCTAATGTCCATGGGTCGGGTAAGAAGCAGTGGCAAGCCTTTTCAAGAATGAGCTCTGGGAAATGGGTGTTTAAGGTGTGCCTAATGCTAAGTCAAAATTCAACCCCAAGTACATTATTTTCCCACCCTGAAATAAAGCACATCCTCTTCCATTTCCATGCTACAGACTGTAACTTTCTATAGTATCAACTATGGAATAGTATCAGATTTGTTCCTCTGTTCTTGTTTCACTCAGAATTTGCTAGAACAGCACCCCCCCAACCTTTTGAGCACCAGGGACCAGTTCCATGGAGGGCAGTTTTTCTACAGACCACTGTAGAATCACATAGACCACATTGTTACCTTCACTCTGACTTGGCTTCGTTATTATAGCACTTAGCACTTAGACTTATATACTGCTTTACAGTGCTTTACAGCCCTCTCTAAGTGGTTTTCAGAGCCTGCCTCTTGCCCCCAACAATTTGGGTCCTCATTATACCCAATCAGAAGAATAAAAGGCTGAGTCAACCTTGAGTCTGGTGAGATTTGAACTGCCAAATTGCAGGTAGCCAGCAGTCAGCAGAAGTAGCCTGCAGTACTGCGCTCTAACCACTGTGCCACCATGGCTCATTATATTTTGCTATTTATATATAAGTCAAGGCAACAATGTTGCCCAGTTCACCCAATTAAAAATGGGGCAAAGATTATTCTATGATACTAAAACAATAACTATTTTCTACAGTCACCCTGATCTTTCCCTATGTTCTTTTCTGTTATTCTTGCTTGAGTGTTCATTAACTCACTATTTTATTTTCAGATTTTTCTTTATCTTGCATTCCTGGATCTATACCTCCTCCTATTTTCTCCATGACAACAACCCTGTAGGTTGGGCTGAGAGAAAGAATGATTGGCCTAAAAGCACCCTGTTGGCTCTAATTTTTAAAGAGAGTTTTCTGATGCCTTCAGTGACTACCCTTGCTGTTAACATGAAGAGATAAAAGCACTTTATATTTGGAATTTTAGGAATCAGATTTATGAGTAGGAGAAACAGATGCACATATGTGCACAGAAATTCACCATGAATTAATCCTACCATTTGCAGAAGAGAAAGTACCCTTTATTAGTAAAAAAGTAATCAAGCATAATCAAGATAGATAAGTATTATGCATAGCGGTGCAGACAGATTCTTAATGGAAGCTGAATAATGTCACCATGAGACAAGTAAGACAAACATATTACATTACCTTGACTCTTCACAGCGATGGAAAAGTAAGCTTATATTCCTTTTTCCTGAGAAGCGTAGCTGAGCACGTTGGATCTATGATAGGTGAGTATAGCAGCTTCCCAAGTTTAATGTACAGTCAGGTTCAAAAAAGATATCCCTGGGATCCGTCTGTCTTTTATAACTTCTCACTGCATAAATTGTTTACAGTCAAAAAATGGAAGGCATGACCTTCAGCACTAGCCATGAGTAGTGTAAATAACTGAGATAAGGTGTAAAAGCAAGGATGAGAAAGACGACCTGTCAAACTCCCAGAACAATTAATCACATGAGAAGACAAGAGGGGTGGTGGAAACAGACAGGGAGCTAACAGAATAGTTGTCTCAATATTATTTCCTCAAATAATACTTTTCTGCAATTGTACTATGATGGAGCCAGTGCTAAAAAATATGGCAAGGTATCTTTCTCTCTCTCTCCCTTTCACATAATGTAGTGGTTAAGACAAATAACTTTTTACAGAGGTCAAAGCTGATTCTTTTTTTAAAAAAAAATTAAAAGTGCATCCAATGACAGTAAGCTGCCCTAGATTTGTAAGTTGCTTATTACTGATTTATGATATAATGCTTTCTTGAGGGGAGGGTGGGTCACTAATCCTTTCCTTATTTACCTCAGTCTAATTTTACCCAGTGTCCTACTGACATCAATGAGATGTTCAATTAAGCTTGGCTAGGATTGACGGTACTATAGAAGAGTTCATAGCATCCATCTGCTCTTTTGCAAATTGCACCTGGGGAGATAAGCTATGATAGATCAGTTACATTTTTCTAAAGGTATTTTTTTCCAGTGAAAAAGGATGTCTTCCCTTATGATTAATGTGCACAGCATCAGTACCTCAGAGTGCAGCTGACAGGAGAAGGTATTTCCAAATATGAAGTATATGGTTAGGGGGAATATGTTGGGGCTTAGGCATGTGATCTTGCCACAAAGCAGATTAAAAAGAAAACAAGAACACTATTATTTCTCCTATGAATGGCTAAAGATAGTAGATCATGGTGGTAATAGCTAAAATGACCTTTGGTCAGGGAGGGAATGACAACTACTCTTATAAAAGACCAGGAAATATTTTATGGACTTTTTGCTGAAAATGGATAAAAATAAGTTGTGATTTCTGGATTCATTAATTAAAAATGGAGATGCATGTGGGAGAAGAGAACTCTGTTATGTAGTTTTGAATGGGGTATTCACTATGTCAATAATTGTGATAAAGAAGATTGAATGCTGCATCTTTAAGTATTTGATTTCATTTTCATTTTCTCACCTTCTGCTGTTTTCAATATTTTTCTGTCTTTCTTGTTTATTTTTCTTTTTTGTGTTTAATCTTTTAATTTTGTTTAAAAATCTTGATATATATACATACATATAAAGATAAAAGTTTTCCCCCATCCAGTCTTGTCTACTCTAGGGGGCAATGCCCATCTCCTTTTCTTAATCAAGGGAGTTGTTCAAAGACATTTCCATGGTCATATGGTAGCATGACTATATATAGAGGCACATGAACGCAGTGACCTTTCCACCGAAGTGGTACCTTTTATCTACTCACATTTGCATGCTTTCGAGCCGTTAGGTAGGCAGGAGCTGGGGAAAGAATGGGAATTTACCCTGTTGCTCATCTTAACCTTTGAGCCATCGCACTCCACCTACCTTTCCCTCTATGTCTACTTCTACATCATTTACATCCGCATCCACATCCTCATACATACACACGTACACACACACACACACACACACACAAAACCAGGATGCTAATGCTACAAAGAGACAAACTAATGAATCTTACAGTGTGTAGCCCTCACTGACACTAAGGAGATTTCTAGGCTTTGGAGCAGGTGTTTTACTCAGCCTTACCTGAAAATGCCAGCCTTTGACCCTGTTAGGAATAACAAGGTTACCTAACATAGTTTGGGTAAAATAATATATATAAACTATGATAGTAAGTTTAAGTGTGTGTCACTTTAAACTGCAAAGCATGTAATTTTGGGTGCGGTGTGAAACCGCCATAAGAGGGAGCAAAAGAACCTGATTAATTCCTGACGATTGCTGATGATTGATGGTTTGATGGATTAATGGTTTGCTAACTGCGTGTTTCCTACTGCTGAGTTTTTGAACGTCGAAGGAAGAAAAGAGGTTTGACTTCTTCATATCTCTACTGTGAGGAGATATATTACTGGACTGATATTTGTAAGTTTACTGACCTCTCTTTTTCGACACTGGACTTTGCAACTGAATAATCCCCAGACGGACTGAATTAGTGAATGATATATGGACTGTTTTGACTATGCTAAAACTATTACTGGAATAAACTATTTAACTAGCACAGTGTATCTGTTTTACTGAGTGTAAGCTACAAAAACGTTTATCTCACATATTTTGCCTGCCTGCCTGACTGCCGTGCAGATTCTGCTAGGGTGTATCCCTAACAGACCCAGAGACATTTGCCTGAAAAACTTGTGCTATGTCACTGGCATGACCCTTCCCAAGGAAGGATAGGATTCCGGGGGACATGTAGATTCTGAGTGAAGGAGCAGTAGCTGTTGCTTTCAGAAATAAAAACAGAGTAAATTAAACAGAGCGTAAGAATTGAACTGAAATTGAAGAAAGGTAAGAGAGTGAAAAAGTGGAAAGGAGTTAAAACATAAAATCCCATGGTTGCAGAGGTGGTATTCAGCAGGTTCTGACCAGTTCTGGAGAACTGTTAGTGGAAATTTTGAGTGGTTCGGAGAACTGGCAAATGCTACCTCTGACTGGCCCCGCCCGCATCTATTCTCTGCCTCCCGGGTCCCAGATGATTGGCTGGGTCTTCTGTTGTTGCCCTGCACAGGAGAATGGAGCTGAAAAGCAGGTTAGCGGGGTGGGGAGGGAATGGAGATTTTTTAGTATCCTTCCCCTGCCATGCCCACCAAGCCAAGCACACAGAACCAGTAGTAAAAAGAATTGAATCCCACCACTGCATGGTTGTCAATATGAAATTTAAATTTAAAATGACAAAATGCTTGAAAGATTTCTGCACCCTTCCTGCTTTCAGAGCATTATCTATCTCCACAGCACTAGAGATGGGTATCATAGCTTCTCTCCTCTAAAACTTTCCCTTCAGTTTCCTGCCTGAAAAAATGCAAGAACATTTTGCATAAAAAGAACCTCTGCAGTATATCCTTTTCCATTTAGAACACGAGAAGGTGAGTAGTAGTTTTTTTTTCCTTCTCACTTCCGAAAGCTTCAGCCTTTGACATTAAATAGAAAGGAGAACAATCATAAATCTAAACAAAAGTGAGCCATTGTCTGCTTCACAGTGGGACAAAGAGGCCAGGCTAAGGAGCAGGAAAGCAAGAATGGGAAATATGAAAAATCAATAAACAAAATAGGTCAGAGGCAAAACGACTCCCTTATGTTTTATATGACAACATGGAATGAAAATGTGTAATACATTCTTTAGTGCCTAAAATCCCATATTCCAATTCAGGTACAATAGCATTAATGTAGCATTCTCTGACAGAATATTTCCCATTTGTGCTCACTTTAATTTGTCATAGTCACAGTCAGTGTATGAATTCTGTAATTTGGAAATCCATTGAATGTGTATTGTTGCTTGGTCAAAGATACCCCATACTAACGATAGTTCAGGTTTTGAGTTCATTATGTCAAAAATTCAGAAAAATGCCTAATGACTCTTTTGGTGTGTCTCACACAAACCCAAATTCATCTAATGAAAGAGAAACAATTCTTTAAATATTCATTTATTTAAGAAAAATGCAGTCCAATTATACCCTCAGACAGTCACTCATGCCTAGCCACTTTACAGATTGACTATTGTGATGAGGCTGCCTTTGTAGACCATCTACTGTGGAAGCTTTAGCTGGTCCAGAAAGACATGAATATTGATGGACATGCCTTGGTATGCCCCTGTAACATCTATCTTTGCAAGCTACATTGCTTGCCAGTTTCCTTCTGGGTGTGGTTTAGAGTCCTGGTCACTCACTTCCTATAAACCCTTACATGTCATTGGGCTCAGGTTCTTAAAGGACCACCTGTGTCCCGTAGAATCTACCTAGCCAGATGGATCTGGCAGGATTGATAGACCATGGGTTCCTTTGATTAAACAATGTCATTTATTGGAACCATAGAGGCATTCAATTCTGAGCAATATGTGATATAAACCAGTTCATTTGATCAGCATCAGATTGGAGAATGTCACCAAAATGGAACTAACTTTCTGTCATTGTTTCGTTTAAAATCTATCCCAAGGACAACCCCATCATCACGATCATCATGATCACATTTTATCAGTTTTTTTAAAAAAAAACATTCCCTCAGAAAGTTTGTTGAAGCACTATGATTATGTGTCATGAAAGAAGAATGGTTTTTTGCAGCAGGTACTTCAAGAAACCATTGTTTGTAGCATGCTTGTCAGATCAATAAAACAAAAGAGAATTGTGCCGGAGAGAATCTGAATCATGAACTAAGAGAAATGAAGCACTGATGCTTCATTTTTGAAGATGAAACCTGCTGAGGATGAAAGAACGTTCCTTAAAGCATGAAAATCTAGTCTGGGATAACTGATTATTGCTGTCAGTGTATGACTCATGAAGACTGGTGTAACATGGTGACTGCTAGTTTTTAGACAGCATGTTTAATACAATGGCCAAGATACTGATCTGTGAACTATTGAATTCTTTCTTCAAACGTCATGTGTCTTAAGTGAGTTGCATTCAAGGCATTAGTCCTACCATTGCTCTGAATCAGACAATTGATTCTGCCGTCCAATGCAAAGGTCAGGGAGCACTAGCAGTGGTGGAATATGCAGCTGCTACTATCATTGCAGTAAATGACATTCTTATAGCACCAACGTTAAACCTATATGTCGTTTCATATCCAACCAAATATAGTGCTCCAGAAGTATACAAACTAGGGATTTATCTTACAGAATTGTAAGGAACTTTGTTGAAATAATCCTCAATGATATTCTTATAAATTTTAAATATCACCACCATTCAGCAAATGGACAAAATGTACTCTATATGTATTTAGTCAAATGTTCTCTTTTTTCACTGCTTCGTATAGTCTGAGGATAAGATGTGGCATTAAAATCATTTCTTTAATCTCCACATTAGCATAATTTGAACAACAACACAAAATATACCAATTCCTTTAAAATTTGTAGCTCTCGATAAGGCTGGCATATTTATTTAGAGTCTTCTCATCCCTTTACTATATATTTCATTTTCTTTCACAGATTCTCTTGTGACCTGAAACATCACATAATCAGTTGAACACCATTTGCTTTAAAATAAGTAGTGTTGAGTTAACTTTGTTTAGTACAAATAGAGCATAGTGTGGAAATCACTTTTATGGATGCTCTTTTTCAGTCTCATTAAGCACAGCTAGTACCAGATTTCCATCTGCCTATTGGCTAAGACAATTCATTTAACCTCTGCAGATATGTTCAATTATTTTGTATCAGCCCCAGCTTAGAGCTATAGATGATACATTAGAGGGGATCCAGTTGAAAAAGATTAAGTCAGGTGAAATTTGAAATAACACATTTGATATTCATCTCAAATCTAACTTTCTCCTTAACCAGAAATAACTGAAACCTACATAACTCTCTAACTCAGGGGTTTCAAAGACCATCCCAGTCTACTTGTGTCGCTTTGGCCTGGTCTACACAATGCTGAGAGGAAAGATCAGGCCAGTGAAACTTCAGCTCAGTCTATCTGGTGTGAAGAGGAAAGTTCAGGCCAATGTAGCTTTGCCTGGTCTACCCAATTAGGTCAGTGTGACTTCGGCCCGGTTTACTCAATGCGAAGAGGAAACATGCCAGCAGTTTGGGAAGTGATGTCAAGCTGGCCGCGCCCATCCAGCCATGCCCCCACACCCCTGAGGTCAACCACAGTCCTGATGTGGCCCTCAATGAAATTAAGTTTGACACACCTGCTTTAACTCATAGAAAATGCAAGCAAAAGGGAAGCAGATTATATTTTAGTATGCATCATACATGAGTAAATCCACAAGTGGGAGGGAAGGAAAAGTGAAAAAATATGTGTCACAATGTGGAAATGCAAACTCCATCCTTTATAAATGTACACACATTACAGTATGGTGTAAAAGAGTACATTTCATCACTTCTGTATTCTCATGGTTAGGAACAGAAATAAAGAAAAAGAGTCATGAATATTTCGCACAGCTGGCTTATCCAACTATGTATCAAAGTGCAAAACTTTCTGTAACCTATTTCTAAGCTCATTAGTGACCCATCCTCAATATGTTGCTGTAGAATTGCAAGTTTAGATGCCTGCATAACCTCCATCTGAGTACAGATGCTTTCATTTTCCTTGAATTCCTTCTTTCTTTGGGGTGTGAATTAATAACTTTCCAATCCATTAGCTGCAAGCCCTTCTTGGATGCCATTTTTAAAAAAAATTGCCAATTCTTATCCAGCCTGCCTCCTATTTTACAGATAACTTTCCATGTTTCTAATCATTTTATGTAGAAGGAGATGCCCCACAGCATATTTTGGTTGTTATATAAGGACATAATTTGCAGTTTGCTCACTCCGAAACAATTTAATGAAGAACATCTTTCAAACCTCCTTCTGCTTCTCAGATAGCTCTGTTGTCAATTTTAATTAGGGCAACAAAAAGTTTAGTGGACTAATAAAGATTAATAGAATTTTAGGGGTGTAAGCAATTCCCAAACTAGAGCCCATTGCCTCAGATGAAATGGGTTTTACTCCATTTAGAAACTCATGCCACAATCAGTCTGTTAGCTTCTGTGCGGAATAGGATTCCTAATATTTTTTCTTCTTCTAACTAACATGGTGATACTTCCCTCTCTTCAAATATACCCCAGGATGAACCCTGGAGGGTTCAGCTGTTACATGTCTCCTCCCTCCAATCAGTACTCAAACAAACCACATGATGGCATTTCTGTTCTGCTAAAACACCTTTGAGGATCAGTTGATCTGATTTGGTATGCAAGCAGCCACTTTGCACACAATCTTTTTTTAATGACAGCTTTTTTGATGCTACTTTAAACACATTGATGCACTCCTTGATACCAGACAGCAGTCCCCCTCAGTGAGAAGGAAAAACAGCTACAGTAGCTTCAGCAAATTATTTCCAGTCAGTGTCCCTGCATATTGTTAGAATAGGGCCAGTCTAAACACATCTCATTGTGGGCCTTTAATATTCATACCAAGGAAGGAGCAGTGTAAATCTTCAGAGAAGAGGGCACAACGTTGTGTTGGAAGAAATATCCATCTGGTTCAGCTCCAAGTGGGGAGAAAGACACTGGAAACATGGAGGCTGATTGAAAAATTCATCATTATTGATGAACAGGACCACATGGGTTTGAGCAGTGGTGGGATTCAGCCAGTTCACACCACTTTGGGAGAAACGGTTGTTAACCTTCTGAGCAATTTGGTGAACTGGTTATTGGAAGAAATCATTAGGGCAGAGAACTGGTTGTTAAATGATTTGAATCCCACCACTGGGTTTCAGGTCCTGAACAGCTGTCCACATGGAGTGGAGACTGAGGGTTATTTATACCTCTCTTGGGCCTTGCCCTTGAGCTCCCTGTTCCTGTGGCAAAAGGATGTATTCTATTGGTTGCTGTCAGACTCCCATGGGGTTATGCAGAGGTCATAGCTGATTTCATAGGTTATTTGAATCTAGCTTGGTTGAAGCTTGGGCTGATGCAATGAAAGAGATTGTTGTGCAGTTGTGCAGTTCCTATTGTGGCTGAATGGCTTTTCCCTGAAAGATAATCCCATCATCTTGGAGCTGAAGGTCCTTTGCTTTGTAGATGGTCTGGCTCAGTCTTTCTTAATGGGCACCAAATATCTGCTGGGGCAGGGAACTAAATACCTGCAGGGAGTTTCTGTCTCCCTTAAGATTTCCATTTCTCTTTTAGGGGAAATATAATATTCTGCCTTTTTAAAATATTTCTCAAAAACATTTCATTCTTCTAGGAGTGTGTGTGCTAACTTTCTACAGTTGTTAGCTATGCAGTTTCACCATCAGCCTTATAACTGCTGTTGATAGAGCCATAGTTCAAAGGTAGGGTCCATGTTTTGTGTTAGGAGATCATAGATTTTCCAGCATCTTCAAGCCCAATTTGGAAAGGCACCTCTAGAATGACTGCCAGGCAATATAGTGCTGGCCAAGGGTCCAACAAAAGGCTACTTCTTGTATTATACAGAAGTATATTCTTCTATTCTTGTACTGTTTATTATATATAAACAAATTGCATTTCAGAAAATCAGAATAGTGGGAAATATAGTTGTCACACCTTTTCCTACCACCAAAATCAAGAACCATGGCTTGAGAATTTGACATCTCCAAATTGCATACTTCTCACTCTCTGAATTGTAGTTGTGTTTTGGGAAGCCGTTTCCAACTTTCTGAAATGCAAGTCTTAATTTCAGCCAGGATTAAGTCAAGGAATCTTGTATTCAGATTTGAATGCAACTTCCATTGTCACTTCTCTTCTCTTGAATCAATCTAAAATATTACAACTATCCTTTTGTATTTATATTTATATAATTTTGTAACGTGCAGCACATCAGAGAGAAAAGTCTATATCAAAGACACACATACTTTTTAAAGGTATAAAATGCATTTTATTAGGTAAAAACTATAGGTGAAAATTGTGTTCAGTGGGCAAAATTGAAAAGAAAGATGTGTACTCTATGCCTGAATAAATACTCACACAAAATACATACACATTTTAGTATATGCTTGTTTAAAAAACAAGCAAGCTGTTATTAGAATAATAGCATCTGTATCAAGACAAACACTGATAATTTGCACACCCTTATTCAACCACAGAATATTCTTTCATTGCCAGATCTCAGACTCAGAATGTAGAATACATTCTTGAGAATGGTCTCTCCAGAAAGGAACTGATAGCATTTCCCAAATCAGTAAATCCCAGAAACATATAACATTCTACAGATTAAAAATATGACTACAACAGAAAGCATCCTTTCTAAGCAGATAAGACTAAAGAGTGTGTTTTCTAGTGATTCAGCAACAGATGAAAATAAGAAAACCAATAAGGCTGCATGCCAGTGTTTGACTTGCAAGGGAGCTGATCATATGCCCAAATTGTACATGTTGGGAAAAGTCTCCTAATACCCCTCATTTTGTCTCTGAGATGGACAGAAGAACCCCGTTGGGAAATGCCTTGTGTGATGCCCCTGTTGGAGTCTGAATCCAAGGAGGAAGATGAGCAGCTGACAGGGAGTGGGAATGTGGCTCCATTGGCTATGGAGAAAACTGGGGAAGGGCAAAGTCTGGCTGGGCAGAGCAGGGGAGATGTAGAACAAGGGAGAGGGAATTCAGAGGAAGACCCAGACCCACCCCCTTCTTCATCCTAGGGCATGCAGGGAGGAACAGAGAAGAGAGCAATGTAGGTTGCATGGCTTACAGGGGAGGAAAGGGACCTGACTCCCTTTCATTAGGCACACCTGAGAAGAGTTTAAAAGAGATGCAAGCTAAGAGCAGTGTTTGCTGGGAACAAACATGAGTTTATCTTGTGTTGACTGTGGTTATTTGTATTCCTGGAATTCTCCCAACTGGGTTGATTTACTGTCATTCCTTACATCTGGAATTCCTTCTCTTGCCCTGCCAGATTAATTATCTCATTCTACCTTGATTGGACTTATAGTTAAAGTTTTTGTTGACAACATTTTGGACTTGAATCTCTGTAGCCAAAGGCTGTTCCTGTGAGACTTTTTCTCCAGACCAGAAGGTAACCAGGGCATGGGGTGCAAAGATGGAGCTAATAAAGGGACTCATTATTTGACTGTATTGCCTTTGTGCCATGCCCCGGGTCATCACACTTTGTGTGTAACCAGTATGAGAGCTTTCTTTGTTTGGCAAGCTATTTGCAAAGAAACAGCAGAGGTTGTCTGGGGTTAGCCTCCCAAAATAAACAAGGCAGGAATCACGAGATGAGCTAACTCTACCTTATTGTAAAGCTACATTGACAGGATCTCACAGGTCTGAAAATACAATATTCTCATTTCATCTCATCTCCTTCACAGTTCAAGAAAGTAGTGAGGTCAACCCCAAACCACTTATCCTAAAGACCTGACTCTACCAGTTGGCTTGGGCCTCAGTGAGGAAAACAGTACAGTGGAGGTGGTTGATTAAGTAACAATAGATCCCACTTCCCCACACATTCCACTCCCACCTTTCCTACATGTCCTTGATTTTAATCTTTGCTTTTAATTTATTTAGGTTTTAATGTACATGTGTTTTTATGTCTGTAAGCTGCCCAGAATTGGCCAATAAAGGTCTCTTCTCTTCCGAGGCTCTTGCACTGTTCACCATCCAGGCTATGCTGGTTTCTTTTTCAGTATCTCTTTACTCAGTCTCCCAAGGTTATTCCCATATTCCATTATAACAGGAGGGTGTGTGTGTGTGTGTGTGTGTGCAGACAGCTTTCAAAAAATACCACTCAACTCCTGTTCTGGCATTTAAATGATATGCCACATCATTTTTTGCTTTACCAGCAAGGACCCATTCATCAGGATTACTATTAAAGAATGAGAAGGTTCTGAAAGAGTCAAAAACTAAAGAATAGGCCAGAGACAACATTTATGTAGGAAATTGTGGTGCCGTCTGATGGGGACTGGAATTTATAGATATGAGAACTCTTAGATGGGACACAAAGGGAAGCAGAAATTTGCCAACCTTGAAGGGCAAGA